TCCTACGTACCTGCCATCCATGGGGTCTCTCTCTCTCTCTCTGTGTGTGTGTGTGTGTGCAGGAATTGGCGTTGACGGACTACACATTCTGTCAATACAAATCCAACATCATCTCGGTATGTCCGTCAGCCCACTTCAATTGAGCCGCACACCCGACATCCATACGTTCAACAGAAACCCGACATCCATCCATTTATCCATCCGTTTGTCAGGCTACGGCGGTGTACATGACTCGCAAGATGTGGCTGCTCCGGGAAGGACAGCCCCGACACGGAGAGCCCAGCTGGGTCAGTCAGTGAGTGAGGCGATGGGAGGGGGGCCACACATTAACCGACACGCAGGACACGACACATGTGTGTGTGTGCGGCTGTCTACGTGCCTTCCTCTTTTTTCTTGTGTGTGCAGACGGAGGCGTTGAAGCGTGTGACGGGGGTGCAGAAGTCTCAGCTGACTTCCTGCAGGGACGAGATGGCCAGACTCCTCCGATCTCTGAACAGGCCGCACATAGCCATTGTACGAACGCCAAACCTCACACAGCACAGCAGCTGCAGTGCAATGACTGAATGGTGGATGGCGCCACTGCACTGCCCCTCTGTGTGTGCATCTGTGTGTGTGTGTGTGTGTGGTTGGTGGCTGGTGGCTGCAGGGCAAGCAGGACGCCTGCATTGCCAAGTGGTCGACGCCGGCCAACTACAACATCGCTTCGGTCTTCTCCGACTGATAACCCCACCCATAAACACACATACGCCTCCACACCATGTGAGTGAGCCAACGCCACCATACCCCAGGCCACCGCCCCCCCGCCTGGCCCACACGCGCGCACTGTCGTGTGTTGTGTTGTGTTGTGCTGTGTGCAGATGGATGCGATAGATACATACGGGTAGCTAAGCTGCCTACGTCCGTCTGTCCGTCTGTCTGTCTGTCTGTCTGTGAGAGTGGCATGCAAAAGAATGAAATGTTGGCGCGAAAGTGCTCGTCTGTCTGTCTGTCTGTCTGGTTGGCTGGCTGGCTGGCTGGCTGATTCTTCCCCCATCCCCACACCCTACCGCCCCCCTGACCAACTCACCTGTTGACCGACCGACCGTGATCCAAGCGCCGCACCACATCAACCACACACACACAGAGACACACAGAGAGGGGCTGGGAGGGAGGGAGGGATGAATGGAGGCTCGTCCTTCTGTCTGTCTGCCTGCATGTATGTCTGTCTGTCTGTATGGCGTGCAAATGTCTGTATGTCTGTCTGTCTGTCTGTCTTGTCTGCTGGGCCAATGACCGACCGCCGACGCCCACCCACCCATCCAGAAGGACCCACTGTAGCCATAACATGACACGACCCTCTCTCTTTCTCTGTGCCTGCTTGTTTTGACCTCACCCACACACGCAAAGCCAGGCAGACACAACACACAGGAGGGCGCCGAGGCAGGCAGGAAGGAGTGAGTGGAGTAGCAGCTGACTGAATTCATGCCACCCAGCGAGTGGACTGGACGGAGGGGCCGGCAGGGCAGGGCCCTGCTGGCAGGAAAGAGAAGGAAAGGACAGCAAAGGGACGAATGGGGCGACAGACTGCATGTTCTCAGGGTTCTCGGTCAGTCAGCGGCTCACGAGCACCTACCTCTCTGTGTGACTCTCGCCCTCCCTCCCTCTGCCTGCCTGGCTGCCTTAGTTCGTTGATGGCGCTGCATGCCGCGTTTGTCTGGTGAGTGGCCATTGTGTGCCGTGGTGCGTGTCGACACACACAGCTGTCTGTCTGTCTGTCCGTCCGTCTGTCTGCCTGCCTTCATTTATGGTGTTAGTTGTCGTATGTGTGCTGTGTGCTGCCAACACGTTTGGATCGCTGGCTGACCGATCGATTTGTCGATGGCCTTTCTTCCTCTCTTTATCTGTCTGTCTGTCTGTCTGTGATTTATGTCTGTCGTTCGTGTAGTGAGTGAGTGAGTGAGTGAGTGAGTGGAGTACCCGGCCGACAGACTGTCCGCCTTTTTTGTGTATGTCTGTAGTGAGTGATTGCCTTTTCTTTGATGGCCGTTTAGTGAAGAGATATATGGTGCGGCTGGCTGGATGGATGGTCGGTCGGTTTTGGTGTGTGGGCTGGGGGGCCATACATACGTCGATGGACGGATTGACGGATGGTGTGCTTATCGGCGGCATGGCATGGAGTGGCGCATTCATTTCGTATTCGTTGGTTGGTTCTTTGAAAGAATTGAAGCGGCTGACAATAGCCGCTCCTGTTGGTTTTTCCTTTCTTTTTCTTCTTCTTTTTCTTGTTGTTCATCTTCTTTTTTGGCGGCCGACACTGGCTGCCTCTTTGCTTCATTACCTTTGCTACTTTGGCCCCATGCCGACAGTGGCTGCAGTCCTGGTTGTTGCTTTTGTTGTTGTTGTTGTTGTTGTTGTTGTTTTACAGCAGCAGCCGCTGAAGCGGCTGCTCTTTTTCTGTCGTCTTGTCTTGCTTACCATTTCTTTACGTACACTCCAGCAGACAGCTGAGAACGGCTGGCTGCACTTTTTTGGTTTTGTCCCCCCCCTCTCTGCCCGGCCTGCCTGTCGCCAATAGCTCACTTGTTCGTTCAGTCAGACACAATGGCCCCACTGCCCCTCAATCAAGACCGATTGATTGGCTGGATGGATGGATATGATTTGTGACCCCTCCCCATCACATACACACACCAAGCTTGGCCTTCTTCCCTCCCCTCCCCGACTGACTGGCTGGCTGGCTGCGCTGTTGCTTGTTGCCGTGTCGTTTTCTTTGGTGCAGCTGGGATGTGCAATTTTTGGGGCGCGACGGCCTACATATGGATGGACACCGACCGATGGCTGGATGGATGGATGCGCTCACACACACGCACGCGGTGACATGACATCTCTCTGTCTTACACACACTGGCTATTTTTTGGTTGGCTGCCGTCTATATGTGTGCTGGCTGATGTCGTGTACACACATGGATCGGATCGGGCAGGCGGTGTGAGACCGAGCGTGGCGTGAGAGAAACGAAACCTTTGAAACAATGAATTTGGGAAGCGAACAACGAAAATCGGAAGGGTACAGGGCGCTTTGCAAGGGGAGAATCGCACCCTTTGTGAGCAGCTGACCTGCCAGCAGGGCCCGGTGGCAGCGTCAATATCTTTCAGGCTGCAGCAGCAGCGGCTTCAGGGAGCACCATCTTTCAGGCTCCGGTGCGAGCTCGTATTTTCCGGCGATCGCTTTCCCTTTGACGTTTTGATTTGACGTTTGTGATGGCTCACCCCTCCCTCCCTGACCTCAGGCAGCAGATCTGAAGCCCCGAGTCGCCTGCCTTTGGCCCAGAGATGGCGGCAGATCGCCGGTCAGCGCGTCCGAAGAAGGATGTGGACTACCGCGAGCAGCTCGAGGACGACGAGGAGGAGGAGGGCGATGACACCACACAGCTCAAGCGCAAGAAGCGCGGCGATGACGGGGCGTATGTGGAGCGCAGGAGCACCGCCAAGGCGGGCCCGAAGAAGGCGAGAAAGCCGAGGAAGGCACCTGGTGAGTGAGTGGTGCTCACGGGCCGGCCATGGATGCGCTGCAATGGATGCAGCGACAAGGGGCGTAAATTCGCTGTCTGCGCCTGTGCAGGTGCTGCTCGTGCTCGTAAGGAGGGTGAGGATGACGAGGAGGGTCAGGAGGGGGAGGACGGGGAGGGGGCTGACCAAGGCGACGTCGACGACGGAGAATCGATATACTACCGTATGATACATCAATCCATTCATTCATCCATTCATCCCCTGCTGTCCATGTCTGTCAATGTGTTTTTATGTCTGTGTTTAATCACCCACCCATCCATCCACTTACTTTGTCAGAGTGTGTGATGAAGGGCAATCGCGAGAGCACGGTCAAGGAGCTGAAGGGGGAGGTGGAACGGGTGCACAAGGAGGAGGGCCAGCGGGAGGTGGCCTACGTGCTCATGGACTTCGTGCTCGAGGTACATGACACTACACGGACATCCGGCACAGCAACGGACAGTCAGTCTGTCTGTGTGTGTGTTTGTGTGTGTGTAGGCGACGGGCTACGGTCCGCGCGAGCTGCGTAAGTATCGCGATGACTACGGGCTGCATGACAACGATACCAAAGACCACGTTTTGCACTCCATCATCGATAACAAGGTCGGTCTGCCAGACAGAACAGACAGACAGGCAGGCACAGACACAGGCCGGGAGTCAGTGACGTGTGTATGCCTGTGTGTGTGTCTGTGTGTATGTGTGTGTGTGTGTGTGCAGGGTGACGTGAGCAAGACCCCGTTCTTCTGGCTGCCGACCTCCAGAGGTAGCCGATCCAGTCGCACTGCTTGCGGCGGGCGCGTCCATGCCAATCCATTCATCCACCGTGCAGGTC